CAGAGTCACTGACACTAGAGCCAAACCAATGAGTGTGATTAGCATTTAAGTCACTAACAACAACAAATTGACTGATGAAAAAAGTGAGAGGGCTTGGTCAATTTGATTAGAAATAACATTTAAAAAAAGTGCAGTCTTGAGATTAAGGATAGCGACATAGAACAAAGGAAAAGGCGATAGAATGAAGTGGTGCTAAAGAAAAGCATACAAAAGAATAGTCGGTGGTTTCAAACCTAGTTTCCCAACAAATGGGTGAATTTTTGCAAATGTAAATGCCCATTCCAAGTATGTTACTATTGGAATCTTTACAAATTAAAGAAAGATAACCATTAACACTAATATCACAAGATGAGAAAGCCAAACCCAAATTAGTTTCACAAAGAGCAAGTTGATCTGGTGAACTTTGCAAGAGATAAGACTCAACAGAAGAAAACTTCCTTTAATTATTAGTGAATGATAGGTTTAGAGAACTTAGTGATAACAATGGTTTTTTGTGTTTTATAGTTTTTGGTACTTTAGTCATACCTAAAAGAACCAATATTACCATTACCAAAAAGAGCCAATATCAAAAATACTGATGTATTTTGTCCTAAAAAAATATCTGAAGTGGTTAATAAATATTTTACAAATGTCGCACTTCATCTAGCTGACAAAATTTCACTAACCTTGTCACCAACTTATAATTCTTTTAAAATCTAAAACCATCAGATGACGCTTTATTGCATGATTTGAACTTAACATTAAAAGAGTTTGAAACAGCTTTTTCATCTTTAAAAGAGAATGAATCACCAGAATTTGATGATATACCCAGATATATACTTATTACAAATAAAAAAAGTATTAGTAAACCGTTATTTTATATAGTAAAACTTTGTTTTGATCAAGGGGTATTTCCTGGTGTATAAATATAGCTAAAGTATTTCCAAAAATGATGATCATTCTAATCATTTCAACTACAGGCTTCATCAGTGCTTTCTGTATTTTCAAAAATATTCGAACCTTCAATATACAATAAATTCTTAGATCATTTTACTAAAACCAATTCTTTTATTCAAATCAATTAGGATTTCAGAAAAATTATTCAACTGAACATAATTGTATTGAATTAGCTGATCAAATAAATAATGGCTTTAGCGAAAATAAACTTAATTTAGGTATATTTATAGTTCTCTTAAAAGCTTTTGACACTGTCGATCATTTTATTTTGTTAGAAAAGTTGAAGCATTATGGAGTAATTAATAAGGTCTACTATTGGATTAAAAGTAACCTCTCTAACAAAAAAGCAATATGTTCTAAATCAAAAATACAGAATACTCAAAATTACTTGTGGAGTCTGCAAGGATAGATACTTTGTCCTCTCTTTCTCTCAGTTTACATAAATAACTTAGTTAATGCATTAGTAAAGTTAAACCCAAGTATGTTTGCAGATGACAAAAATCTATTTTTTTTTTAACAATAGTTTCAAACAACTTAATGCAGGCATGAATTAAGTAAGATAAATGACTGGTTTAAAACGATTAAACTATCATTAAACGTTGAAAAAACAAAGTTTACCTTGTTTCATAAAAAAATGCAAGAAGGAAATCTTTCCCTTAAACTTACCAACCTTATTTTCAAAAAGCAAGACTATATAAAGTTTTTATGAATACATTTTAACAATAATTTATCTTGGCTTTCCCCATATTAAATATTTACAATCAAAAGTTAGTAAAACCATTGGTCTGATGTACCGAGTTTGTCTATATGTAAATACAGTTTGTCTAAAGTTAATTTACTTCTTTAATTCTTTTTAAACTATGCTAATATAACATGGGTAAGTACACAACCAATAAAACATGAAAAAAAATACTTTGTTTGCAAAAACATGCCTCTAGAATTATTTTTGGAAAAAAAGAGGGGAACACACTAAACTCTTAATGAGAAATATGAAAGTGAAGGATGAAGATATTTTTTTACACTTAATTTTCATCTAACAAAACCCTTATTAGATGAAAATTAAGCGCTGATAAAAATATATTTTTATCAGCACTTAATTTTCATCTAATAAGGGTTTTGTTATAGCAATTTCTATAAACGTATGATATAGAAACACTGCAACAAAGACAAGTTTCTATACAAATTTTTAAAAAAGTAAAATTAAATAAAAAAACTTTATCAAATTCATTGTATTGCAGTAATAGTTTTACTCTTTATGTTGATTTTTTTTTCTATTACAAAATAAAAAGATATCTTTTATTAACTCATAAAATCTTTCGCCTATTTCACTGCAAATTGATTTAACAGCATTATAAATTAGCTTACAATTCTCATCACTTTTATAGAATTCCTACCTTCTAACCCATACGCATGCACATAGATTTTTCCTGAGTTTATAATTAGCTGGTTTTGTTTATACACAAACAATTTCAAGTATAAGAAAGTATAAAACTGTTAAAGGCAAAAAATACTCAATATAATATTGAAACAAATAATTATTTTATATGCGATATAACAAAAAAACAAAAAAAGATGTTAAATCCATTTGTTATCCATAAACTATCAACTAAATCTGTGACTCAATTGAAATTGTAATTATAACTGAAGTAAAAGCCTTAAAGTCAGGTCAGATTATCCTGACAACCTGCTTTATATCATGCTGTCGTGCAGGATACGTTTTTTTAGGCAAAGACTAGAAGAAGCCAACTCCAACTTAAAACAACCCCTGCCTAGGGAATCTTGGTTGAGTAAAAGGTAGAGATGGTGTCTTGATAAAAATACTCATTTTGGGCAGATGTTAAATGCATCCGTTCTATCTGTTGATTAGCCTCGCATTCCTTCTTCATCTATTAGGGTGACACAAATATATTTATAATACATTGTTTCCAGTTTAGGATGTTAAATTCTAGATCTTCTTGACTCAATGCATGAATTTTGTTTGTGCTTCTGTTTTATGACAAACAACTCACTCTATTTTCTCTTAATACTCTAAAAATCAGTATTATGGTTCTGAAAATGCTCTAAAAAATGCTCTAAAAATCAGTATTATGGTTCTGAGTTTATGCTCTAAAAATCAGTATTATGGTTCTGAGGCCGGCTAGTAGTCAGGTTTCTCAAGCTCATTGGTAAGTCTCAGAGTGACTGATTCCATCAACAGCTGTAAAATATCAGAGTATTAACAAATTCAAGTTACGCATGGATGGTGTCCCTGTTCGTACTTTTGGTGTGTATTTTCTTTTTTTTAGTTGATATTTCGCTTTTAAAATAAATTACATGAGTTTTATATGGTAACTATCAGTAAATAAAGTATTTTAAAAACAGACCGGGACTCAAAAAAAAAAAAATGGGTGATGCAATATCACCTCAATCTTTTCATAGAGCCCCTTATATATATATTAAAATTTTGTCAGATAGAATTAAAAATATAAAAGTAACATAATAAAAAAATTGAAAATAAACTAAACATATAGTCAGAAAGCAAAGTTTTTTTACAACTACAATGATATTTTGCAATAATTATATTTTAAAGCAAGTTTTTAAAAAATTAGAAATACAAACGGGTCAGGGTAACAACATCCGCTTTTGTTATGTCATTGTTTTTGCAACAACATCTGAACAACGTTCCAAATTTAATTGATGTAACTATTTTGTTATCTGCCATTAAACTTTCCTTTAAAAAGTTGAAAAGAAGGAAGTTTACATTTTTATTGTAGTAGTCTTTAAGAATGTTATAAAAAGCTAAAAAAAATAACTATGATTTAATTTTGTAAGTTTCTGATACTCGTTAAACTTTGAATATTAGTTTAACTGACACTTATATTATATATAAAGATTGTATTAACTAGAATACTATATTTTCCATCAGGGGTGTGGAGTCGTGAAAAAAAAGTAACAACTCCAACTCCGATTACAGTTGTTGAAATTCTTTGAATACAACTCCGACTCTGACTCTAGATGATAAAATTTTTTAAACACAACTCCGACTCCTAAGCAAAATTTTTGAAAAAATCTTTGACAAATTCAAGAAAGGTTTTTTGAGGTTTAGTATGAACATAAGATTAATTAAATGGTTGGTACATCCATGTGCAATACCAAGATTGGAGTCGGAGTCACAATTTTTTTTTGCGACTTTAACTCTGCTATAGAAGTTGCAACTCTGCAACTCCGACTCCTACTCCACAGCCCTATTTTCCATAAACCATAAATAATGCAACATTTTTTAGGATAGCGATTATGTTTTTAAAGTGGAAGTAATCATTTACCTTATTGCCAAAACTAAGCAAATATCAAGAATAAAAGTTTTTTGTTTTTTGTAGAATTTTGTAACTCCATTGTATATTGTATTTTTTACATTAAATGTATAACACCATTAACAATATAATCGTAATTGCATTCTTTACTGTTTCTGTACTTGTATAAGTTAGATAGTATTATATTTTTTTTCATTTAATTTTAGGCTGAGGTTTTAATAATGTATTTTAATATGTAAATATATATATCATAATATATATATATATATATATATATATATATATATATATATATATATATATATATATATATATATATATATATATATATATATATATATATATATATTATAATAATGTTTATACATATATTACAATAATGTATATATTATAATATATAAATATATATATATATATATATATATATATATATATATATATATATATATATATATATATATATTATAATATATACATTATTGTAATATATGTATAAACATTATTATAATATATGTATATATATATATATATATATATATATATATATATATATATATATATATATATATATATATATATATATATATATATATATATATATATATATATATATATATATATATATATATATATATATATATATCAACAATTGTATGGCATATAAATAAACTAATTTTTCTTTTAAATTTAAAGATTTTTCTCTTTTTAACAAAGGAGAACATTTTTCCACTTTTAATTTTTTTTATAAAAACTAATTTTAAAATAAAACCTTACTCTTTTTAAAATCTTTTTCTACTTGATTAGGCAGATCAGAAGCCAGAGTTTCATATCTAAACAAATTTATTTAAAAAATAATTGTTTTACGTGAAGTAAAAATTTTTTGAAGTGATTGTGATAATTTATAGGTAGTAAAAAGGTTAATTGAGATAATTACTTTTTAAACATGGAACAAACTCCAAACATTTATATGTTTATACTTACGTATAATAAGGATGCTTTGCAAAAAATTGCAATGATCAGAGCCTGTTAACAAAAAAAGCCTCAACTACTCCAAATGTAAGAGCAACAAGTAAAAAAATTATATATACTTCTTTATATAAATATATATATAAATATATATATTTATATATATAAATATATATATATATATATATATACATATATATATATATATATATATATATATATAAATATATATATATATATATATATATATACATATATATATATATATATATATATATATATATATATAAATATATATATATATATATATATATATATATATATATACTATATATATATATATATATATATATATATATATATATATATATATATATATATATATATATATATATATATATATATATATATATATATATATATATAAAGACATGCAATTTCACGTCTTTATATGATTAAACAAAAACTAATATGTTTTAACAATTTGACCACGGCTTTAAAACAAAACTCATCAAACTAAAATGCTTTATCTTTTTAATTTACGCATTGAAAACCCATTTTAAACTTTGTTTTCAACATTTGTATACATTTCTATATTAAAAAAAACATTTTATTAATAATTTTTTAAAATTAATTAGAAGTGTTTTTTTTACTTCATTAAAAAGTGTTTTGATAATATAAAAGCATTTAAGATCAAACTTATTAAATTGTAATGGCTTTTAAAAACTTTATTTTTAAACAAAATTTTGTTTATTTTTTGAAATGCCTTAACTTTAATTATTCTTATATTTAAATTCGTTAAAAAGACTTAAAATGTCATCGTTTATAAAAACTAAACAATTTTTTATTTTTTAATAACGTTTATTTTAAAAATTAACACTTCAACAATTTATATGATATAAATTTAAAAAATATATTCAAATGTCAATTATATTAAAAAAAAAAAAAACATTTTTAGTAAATTGCTATTTTATTTAAAATCGTTTCGCTAATATAAAAATATTTGTTTAGAAGTTTTAATGTAATTCATTTCACTTATTTAGAATATTTTTCATTTAGCGCATTATTAAAACATTTTTTTAATTAGCGATCAAACCGTCATAGCAAAATGTAATTTCTGTGGTAATCTAATATAGCATATTTATATTCTCACTTTTTTGGTCATCTAAATCGATATAGGTTTATTAGAAAACAAAAAGGGTAAACAAAGAATAATGAATGAAAAGTTTGCTGCCCCATCCCAAAACCCTTAAGCTATGTATTCCACTGCGAATCAGGCAATTTGTCAGTTCACCAAACATGAAGTTAGGGTAGTTTGTTTATTGCTCTTATCTATGTAAAAGCATGGATTACCTGCTCATACTCAATGCTCCATTCAACAATTTAAATCTCATAACAGCATTAAAAAATTACAGTTCAACATCAAAATATCAACAACTGCATTGAAAGCATTGGGTTGCCATTTATGGTATCTTAAAGAAGAACTAGCAACGCTTGGTCTGTTTTTTGATCTGGTGCCTGTTATGATAAAAAAACTTATGGTAGCAAAATTGTAAGATCAGATTGAAGACAATCATAAACTTATTTGTCTATCAATTGGATACACTAGAACTGAAGATCTGAGTGCAAAACCTCTGGAGTATATCATTAGACTATCTTCACTTTTTTTTTTTGATGCTTACAGTTAGACATGTCCTTTCTTATGGAGGATGTTGAGAAGTGGTCAGATATTCCAAATTATCAGGTCGCACCGTTAAGGCTCTAAAAATTGTCAATAGCAGTGCAAAAAGAGGAACTGCTCTAGCCACTGCATTTATTTCTACAACAACAAAACAAGAAGAGCAAAAACAACATTTGTTTCAAATGGTGGAAAGTCAGCAGCAAAGATTTCTAAATCCAAAGAAATCATTGTTACTTTAAGATGTTTGTTGTAACTGAACACATGAAACAAACAGTGAAAACTGAACAGTTTTAATGGAAATGTATTTAAATAAAACTTCCTTTTAATTTACTGTAAAGATATAAATTTTGTGGCATAATTTTTATGTTAATAACAAAAATTTATTTTTTGGAATATTCTTAAAAATTAATGAAAACGCTGAAATTTTGAGGTCAATGCGGCAGTTCTAAATATTGTCATATTTCATTTTTTTGAATTTAAAATATTTTTTTTTCATAATTAAATTTAATGAAACGGACAGAGTGAGGTTGATCTGTAATGACACTTTATTACTGATAAGTCTTTGAGGACACTTTGACACGTTATTACTGATAAGTCTTTATACTGATAAGTCTGATAAATCTTATACTTTATTACTGATAAGTCAATGATTTGAGGAGGTCGGTTTTTGACTTGCCCTTCGCTGCAGACTCAGTGATCCTTTTTTGTTGCTTTCCATCTAGCAAGTCTGTTTTAATATATTTTTGAACGTTGTTTGGCGCTCTCCTTGCTGTTTTTTAATAATCTTGGTGGTGAAGGTATTAGCAAAGAAATCTTGTTGCCAATAGGTTAACGATTTAAGTTGGTCGGTTTTCCAACTGACCCTTTGTTAGCTGATGCGGCAACCCTATTTTAATGTTTTTACCTAAACCATCAAGATTGGCCAACCCTATAAGCTGCACCAAAAACTAAATATATTTCATGCTGCCCCATATGTTTACCAATTACCAAAATTTACTTAAAAATTTTAAAAGGGTTTAAAAACAATTGATCGCAATTCGATAACAACAGAAAACTGCAAAGCCATAATATGTTCCTTTAATGATTTAGGATACTTTTGAATGTTTTCTTTATTTTTTATTTTTTTATGCTCTCCAAACACAAAATAATTATTTACCAATCACCTTACACTTTCATCTTTCAATCAAGTAACACTTTCTCTGACCAATAGCATTATTATTTACTGAGGCTTATCTTAAAAGACATTTTCTTTTAATTGATTTACCGCAAAATACGTCATACAACACCTGTGTACAAATTTACAACTTACATGCGCTTTATTAACTGCACATTGACATTGCGCAAAATATCCTTCATAAGACTTATTTTAATTCAATATCAAGTTATGGTAAGACTTTTATCTTAAACATTTTTTATTTCATTGTCAGTTTTTTCGCCTTAAATTTGTACTTTAGTACTCAGGAATAATATCACTTATAAGTTTTTCTCCTAATGTTACTTCTTGTGCAACATGTTTTATTAACTTTCTTAAAAGTATATTTGCGTATTTAGTTTAAAATGGTACAAGTTAGGGTATTTGGCTGAGCAGTAGTATGTCCTCTCAAATGTTATAACATAGGAAGGCTTTGAATTAGATTTAGAAGTCGGTTTTACTTGCTTATTTTGAGGATGATACCCCGACAGGGTTTTCTAGGAATGAGCATTAAAACATTCAAAACCTCATATACCAGAATATTGAATCGCTTTAAGGGTCAATACTATATCCATTTCCTGACAAGAATCTGGTATTATACTATATAATTTTCAATTTTATTTTCAATTTTATTACTTAGGAACAGTAACAGAAAAAGGATGAGACTTAATTGAATGGCGAGTAACAAAAGAATGAATTTTAGTAGATGGAACAAGAGACGCTAGCTCTTTCGAGCAATACCCATTATAGTATTTGTAAAAAAGAGAAAGAGAAGCAACATTACGACGATGTGACAGAGGTTGAAGGTTGGCTACAAGAGCAGGTCCAACTATATTTACAATGCGTTTTTGCACCTTGTCTAAAGAGAAAGGGCATCATTAGAAGATCTGACCCAGATATGGCAACAGTATTACATACAAGGCCGGATATAAGATTTATAGAAATAGAGAATAGAATCTAGAGTAAGAAATTGACGAGCTCAATAAAGAGAAGCAACTTGAACAGATGCTAATTTTGCAACGGATTTTATATAAGGTTTCCAAGAAAGATCAGAAGTAAGAGTTAATCCTAGAAGATGAAGAGTAGGAGACTCATCAAGTACATTACTGTTCATAAATATAGGAAGGTCTAAATTATTGTGATAACAATTGGCCGAAAAAAATTGAGTTTTATCTGAATTAAAGTTCACCAGCCACTGTGAGCTCCATGCTGTAGCAGAAGTGAGATCCTTTTAAAGCTCAGATGCCCCCTGCAAGCAATCAGAGGGAGTTAGCATCTTATTGTGACAAAAATAAATGGTAGTATCATCAGCAAACAATGCCACCTTAGACGTGAGAATATCTGGAAGATCGTTAATGTAAATTAATATATATATATATATATATATATATATATATATATATATACATATATATATATATATATATATATATATATATATATATATATATATATATATATATATATATATATATATAGATATATTTATGTATATATATATATATATATATATATATATATATATATATATATATATATATATATATATATATGTATATATATATATATATATATATATATATATATATATATACATATATATATATATATATACATATATATATATATATATATATATATATATATATATATATATATATATATATATATATATATATATATATATATAGATATATTTATGTATATATATATATATATATATATATATATATATATATATATATATTATGTATATATATATATATATATATATATATATATATATATATATATATATATATATATATACATATATATATATATATATATATATATATATATATATATATATATATATATATATATATATATATATATATAGATATATTTATGTATATATATATATATACATATATATATATATATATATATATATATATATATATATATATATATATATATATATATATATATATATATATATATATATATATGTATATATATATATATATATATATATATATATATATATATATATATATATATATATATATATATATATATATATGTATATATATATATATATATATATGTATATATATATATATATATATATATATATATATATATATATATATATATATATATATATATATATATATATATATATATATATATATAGTTTTTCAATTACAGGGACAGATCCCAGTAAGTGTTTGCTTTACAAAAAGATAACACTTAAGAGGACATAAGCGTTATCGGGGACATTTTAGAGTCCCCAAATACATTATTATTTTTTTTTAAAAATGTACCCATAACGAACTTTTATAGAGAGCAGAAAGTACATACATTGAATTTCAAATAGTCTGACTCACAAGGGAGTGCTGCTACATCGATTAAGGGTTTGGTTAGGCCAGGCATCAAGGTCAGGCTTAGGGTTAGGGTTACAACAAAGTTTAAATTTGGTTATATTATTGTAATTAACCGTTTTTGTAATTAGATGAAGTTAAAAATGAAATATAATATAAAATAAATAAATAAAAATAACAAAAATTTATGTAAAAAAAAAATTTTATAACAAAAAATAAATTTAAATATGTATAAATAAAAATAAAAATAAAATAAAAGTTAAAAATTATGTATAAATATGATAAAAATAGTATAAAAAAAAAAAAAAAAAAAAAAAACAGAACAGGAACAAAAAAAACTTTTCCCCTAAAGTCGCAACTAGGATGCTGTATATATATACATATATATATATATATATATATATATATATATATATATATATATATATATATATATATATATATATATATATATATATATATATATATATATATATATATATATATATATATATTTATATGGACCAACTAAAACAAAACTCAACAAACTAAAATGCTTAGTTTATTTAAATCAGGTTTTTAATTACATTAAGAATAAATTAGCATATTTTAGTAACATTAATGTTTCTAACATGCTTTTTACAAGCATATGTTAATAACATCAATGTTACAAGGATATATACATAACAAGCAACATTTATTGCATCGTTAAAAAATCTTTTAGACTAGATTAAATTCTTTCCTTGTTGTAATAGAATGTACACATTTTAAAAATTATTATAACAATAATATATTAAATTAATTAATTCAAACATAATATATAATTCATAACATAAAACAAAAAATATTATGCAATAACTTAATGTGTAATAATTTTATTTGTTATCAGTTTAATAACTTTTTATTTCATTAATAAGATTTAGAGTGTAATAATTTTATTTTTTAGGAGTGCCATTTTAGGGGAGTGCAAGCAAGAGCAAGAACTAAAGCTCTTGCTTCCTGCAGATATATATATATATATATATATATATATATATATATATATATATATATATATATATATATATATATATATATATATATATATATATATATATATATATATATATATTTAATTGTATATATATTTAATTTTACATAAAAGTAATCCATTCTTTAACATTTGTTTATAAAATTTTTTCTTTAAAAAAAAAACAAAAAAAAAGACTCACATGAAATTGTTTTCGTGAAAAATTTGAAACTGTGAATTTTCCTTATATATTTCAAAGTCTTTAGTAGATCCACGATCTATAAATTCCTTGCAATTCTCATTTATTACAAAGAAAACATCTTTTGATTTTCGATTTTCTGTATTGGATGTTGCTATTATAATTTCTTCAATAACCTTTTTGTCTGACCAACTAGTTAAAACATTTCCGATAGTTTTATCCTCATTTAAAAGTGCTTTAGTCTTTTTATCTTTTATTCTGAAACTTTTTATTTTATCCTTTAATCTTTTAATTTGAAATTTTAATATTTTATCTTTATTTAAAGGCTTTTTGCTATCTTTAAAATTCTTAACTAATACGGTTAAATGTGAATTTGATCTTGAAATAGCATCTACAAGAACATGTCGAAGATAAATCTCTTCTGGACTCACGAATACAATTACAGATTGAGATTCTGCTCCTGAAAATCCTTTGCAGTCAGTCACAAGTATGTCCAATTCACTTTTTAATTTTTTTTGAACTTCAATTTTTGTTTGTAATGTTGGGGAGTATTTCTGCAAATGTGGTGAATAAATTACTGCTTTAAAAATTTTAATTATATCTATTGCATATGCAGTAGATTGTACTTCTTCCATATTGTTGCATATAACAACTGTTTTTCTTAATACATTAAAACAAAGTTTTTCTAAGATAATAGACAATACTTTTACAGATTGTTTATCTGTTATATCATAAAAAGGTAAATATACAACCTTGGGCTTTTCTCCTTTAATGGAGTGTCCTATAATACTAGATTTAAAAACATATTCAGTCTCCATATAACTATTTGGATCAATATTATTATCATTTTTTGTTATTATCTTTGCCATGTGATCTAAATCAATATCATGAAAATCTTTAACATCTGTATCAATAAATTTATTTTCTTTTTTCTCTGAAGATTGATTTGAATTAGAGTCTGAATAGTTATCAACAGTTTTATCATTAGAAATATTTGATGCATATCTATTACTTTTTTCAATATTAACAGATGCATAATTGTTATATTTAGTATCCTTAATTGTGTCAAAATGTGATGTGTCATTAATTTCTTTATTATCTTTTACATTATTTTCCACATTCTGCAAATCTTTTTTTTTATTTGGAATATTTAAAACACATTTTGTTTCACAAATAGCTTTTTGAGCAATATCAATTAATAATTTATTGCATTTAGTAACTCTCATTGATTTATTTAGAGTTATGACCTTCATTCCTATTAAATCTTCTTGAAAGAAATTTTTTTGTAGTATATACTTTTGTTTATTTATTATCAATTCTCGATTCTTTGTAATGCTCTCGGGAATAAAAACAACTAAAGTATCTTTTAATAAAGATGTAAACAAATTTTTCAATTGAATTGCATCTTCTTCTTTAACATATTCTTCAGAAAGTTCTTCAAGTACAAAACAAATTTTTTTTTTTTTTGTGGTTGCCAAATACTTTAATAATATTGGTAGAGAAATGTAATTGTTTGAAATATTTTCATTCTGATACATATTTTTCCATAAATTGTACAAATTATCATAAACAACCTCAACATTTGATGTTTTCTCTATAGTATCAACAAACTCTTTCATATGGCATTCATACAAGGAGAAATGGTTACAGCATATATAATACAAGATATAAGGATTTTCTGACTTTTTTGCAATACAATTTTTAATAATCTCCTTTCCTACTATAGATTTTCCTGAACCATATCCTCCAGTGATAATTTTTTGCAATGCTTTATCATTTATTGCATTCCTTTGTTCAACATTAAGAAGCAATGTTTGTATCTGTTTTTGAGTATCTGATTCTAACGTGGGATAACAAATGTCAACTTTAGCCATTAGGATCATAGTTAAGCTGATGAGTTTTTTAAATAATATTTCATTATTTTGTGTATTTACTTTTTTCATGCAGTATACCTCAACTGATTTCCACCAACTTTCAAAATTTTCATTTCCAAAGTCATCTTTACAAAGAAATAAAAATTGATGTAAATGAAATTTCTCAGAGAAGTGAAAAAATAGTTCCTCTTTTAAATGTATACGATCATGTAAAGGTAAAACTACAATTCCCAAAACAATCAGCTTATTAGCACATAAAACAGGATTGTTAACATTAACAAATAACATGATATCATTTAAACAGCTTTCAGATTCCAGCTTGAGGCAATCAGTTGAAGTAGCAATACGAGCAATTATAACAAGGTTGAAATCAGAGACAAAAATTGTTATTCTATTTTCATCGTTACAATTAGTAAACTTTTCAATGTTACACTTTAAAAGAGATGCATGATATTGTAAACGATAGCCAGGGAATACAGCGCGTATGCCTTTAAAATTCACAGTAAACAAGTTAATAAATTTGGAAACAACAAAATCTAAGTTGTCACTGTTAGCAATAGAAGGAGAGACATAAATAACATCATTCCAATCAGGAAAATTTCTATCAAAATAATCTAATGCAATTAACTCTATTGATTTATCATCAGGTACTTTATCTAAACAAACTTTGTTTGTCTTTCTCCAATCCACAGATTCTATTGTTTTCATATACTTACTGAATTCACTGTTAAAAATTGGTTCAGGTGTTGCAATAAACAAACCATTATAGAGCAGCTCATAGTCGCAATTACCTGAATGAATATAGTAAAATGTACAGGGGCTCAAATTAATGCAAAAAAATTTATTTATTTGAGATACCACTCTTCTTCCATAGCGTAATATATTGTAATCCTCCTCTCCTTCCCAAGTTTATTAAAAATGTGTAAAAAAAGCTATATAAGCTATATATAACAATACATCATTATATTAATGCTTTTTATTAATGCTTTTACAGTTTATAAAAAACATACAGTTTATAAAAATATAAAACAATTATGAAACAAAACAAAGTTGTGTTTATATCATAGATAAACATAGAAAATAAGATAAAAGTTGATAGAACGTTCCTAAACATATTATTAAATAAGATATTAATAAAAGCATGTTGTTTGCTATTATACGGTTGAGAGCCTAATTTTAGGCTCTCAAATCTGCATAGTTTTTTCTGTTTAAAAAAACATCTGGTTTCAATAATAAATGTTTTTGCTTACCACAGAGTTTTCTAAGCTCTGTTTAGTTTTACACTATCAAATTGGGCCCTTCATATTTAGACTGTGTTGGTTATGAACAACATTCGCTGTAGCATGGTTTTGTTTTTTGTTCAACATATCGATAAATGTTTCAGTTGAATAAACTAGCATAATAAAAATAGTAATTGAGTGAAGAGAGCTTTAAAATACAAGATGATACTCAAGATGAATATTTTTCTTAGAAAATAAGTAATCAATTTTTTTATATACACCATTAATTACAATATAATCCAACATGGTTAAATATTGAAAGATTTAAAAATCATTATTTTATTAATAAATTGAGGAAACCATGTCAAAAATGATATTATATATATTTATATCTTATTATTTTATTTTATTTATATTTCTAATAAAAGAAACTGTTTTTAAAATGATTTAATATATTTTTCAGATATTTATAAAATTAATAATAAATTTTTAAAATTTCACATTTGCATATAAATTATTTTTTATTTATATATGTTTTTTGTTTATATATGTTTATAGCAAAACATTAATTATAGCAAAAAAGACTTCTATTGGCTAAAATAAAATTTAATTTTTTATATAAGTTTTTTAACAGAAATAAAGATGAAAAAAAGAGATGATGCTGCAACAGAATTTTCAGATGAAAGTAATACTGTAAAACTTGATAAATGATTTAGCATGTTTTAAAATTATCTTCTTAATCTAATATTGCTGCTGTAGCTATATCTATTTTTGATTTTTACAAATGACGCTCTTTATGTCACTGGATACAGACGTCATGCAGTTTCCATTTAATTAATTTTTTAAAAACTCATTGAATGGAAACTGCATCAAATCAAGTTTTTCACAAATATTTTTAATCTTTCATAAATATTTTAAAGGGATCCCTAAGTGCTGAGACAAGTTGTGTTTATATTAAAGAACATTTTTAAAAAAATACTTAAGCTAAATTTGTATGAATAAAACTAAATAACAAATGCATATCAATAAAATTAAAATTGTTCATTTAGTCGAAGCTTGTCAGCTCCATTTTTTTTTTGGTACTCCGAATATTATATTTTTTTCGAAAATTATATTTATAGCCTATAATACATATACAACCTATTTCATTAATTTGATTCTTGTTTCTTAAATCTAATATTATGTTTTTATTTGTTCTATTTAAATTTATTTATTGGAAGTTTTAATCTATATAATGTTTATACTCAATATTATTTAACAGTTTTCAATTTTTTCATTTAGGATAAAATTTAAATATTTACTATATTAGGCATTAAATAACTTTTAATTGTTTAAAATTTAAGTAACATTCAAAATGAGACTATTCTCAGAGGCATGTAACATTTTTATCAAATAAGAGCTGGTTTGCTTCTTAAAACTGGATAGCAACACATTTTTCTCCACAAAACTCCTAAACTTCTAGAAATTCTTACATATTTGATTACTGCAAATAAAATTACATAGTGTTGGTTGAGAATTTCATTATTTTTTACCAAGGTTTACCTATAGTTCTTCATTGGCCTTTAGAACAATGATTTTTTGATTTTAATTTATTTATTAATTTTGTCACATGTCTTAAAAGATTTATTAATTTTGTCACATGTTTAAAAAAAAGTTAAAAAATAAATTCAGGCATTCCGACCTAAAATATTGTAATTTTGGCCGGAAAGAAATTCCCAAGTATTTAGAAAGTGTGTTATCTTGATACCATTATAAATAAAATGGAAACTTAAAAAAATAATAAATAAATAAAATAAACTCTTTAAAAAATGGTATTGCGCTTTCATACATTATTCAAAATTTCTTGCTAAAAGGATTTTTAGTTAAAAGTTTTTTATGTATTACAACATATAAAGAAGAAAAAAGGAGTTGGTTTCCACGCAGAGAAATTCACTTTTGAATTTAAAGTAATTCAAATTCATAAGTGCCATATTTTAAATAAAAATTTCCACACAGTAGTGCAAATGATCATACTATTAAAATGTTATGCTTAGCATGACATACTTTATGGGGGAGATCTAATAGAAACCTCACACAAAACATTAATATCATTTTTTTAAGAATAACCAAATAAAAAAGTATGCTTAATTAAAGAATAATCACGATATTAATTTTTTAAAGAAAAAAGTAGATGCAAAAAGCAATTGCAATTTGACATTGCGATACACTTTATTTGAGCTAAGATATAAGCAATTTAACAAATAAAGCAACAACTTATACACAAAGTAAATTAGTGAGTAACTTTAAAATTTGTACAAAATTTTTATAAAAAATATGATGATGAAAAAACGTAATTAAATATAGAAAAAAATTTTTTGGTTTACTTTATTAATTTAAATGTGATTTAAGATTTTACCAAATTATGATTTGAATTGTTTTATTTTTAATGCGAAAAATATAAAAAGCAAGTAAAAATAATACCTGTAATACAAACAAAACCATCACCTTGAAAACTATTGTTTCTTGAATCTTGAAATGAAAACTTAAAATTGAATTTTTCATTTTCAAGCAATAAATTTTCTACTTTCACAAACAATGTAGCATTCTTTTTTTTTGTTAAGTAATATTCATAATCATGTTTCTTGTTATTAATAACTTTCCAATTATTACTATTATTACATAACTGAAATTCAACTTTACAAATTTCATTTACTTGTGAGTCTAACTTAAAAACACAACCATATGGTATTCGACATTCAATTGTGCTGTAAAAAAAATAATATTACAAACTCTTTTAAAGAAGCATAAGAAATTTCTTTAATTCTCTGAAAAAAAATACTTCTCCCTTTATTTTCATTTTTTATTTTTTTAATTTGTTATTTGGTTTTACAGTTAAATCAATGATGAGAGACTTACACAATAAATTAGTTAGCAAATAATAAGAAAAAGATTTATTCTTTAATGAATATCAAAAAACTATTTTACATACCTTTGAAATTGAATTAAAATTTTTAATTTTCAAAATCATATTTAATTCAAATTTTTCAATTAAAAAAAAACACTATATTAAATAACCAGTATCTTTCTGAGGGTAAATGTATTTTTTTACCGGTTTATATTTTCTAAATAAAAGCACTTACACACTATTAAAAAAATAATTTAAATATTCACATAAAACAAGCTCTTTATCCAGATACAAGAATAACTACCAAAAACAAACAACATACAATTAATATCAAAATAGAAATAGCATAAACTAACATAAAATAAACAACATACAAAGATTTACGTAACTGGGTGGCTTCATTGGTCACTTTTTGCGATCATTGTGTCGCATAAACAATAAAATAAACAACATACAAAGACTTTTAATTACCTTATGTTCTTTAGACTAGACAAGTAATCTAAAAAGTAAAATTTTACTATAGTTTATTGTTATAGTGCTGTTGTTTTTTTTATCATAAAAAGTACAAGTTGAAAAATTATAACAAAATTTGAACAAAATAAAAATAACAACTTTTGTTTTGTTTCAACAAGCCTTCCCAAGAAGCATGTGCAGTCGCACACCTTGTTCGTCCACATTTAAAGTAATTTTTTCAGACAACTTGACCACATAATTGTATTGAAAACTTAAAATTTGGCGTAACATATGTTCAATACAGTGTTTATATTAGAAATTTATTGTTGAATTTGAATGCAGTATTTAGTTGTGACTATTTGCTTTACTAGCTGCATATTTTACATGTTTGGCCCGTTTTAAATCACTTGATATATATCCTAATGTCTTTTTCTAGTTTTGAATTTTCAATTTCTTTTAATGAATTGTTTTTGTTCTTAAAATACAAATACTCTTTATTATATCATCTAAAGTGCATAATTTTACAATTTGCAAAACTAGAACATTTAAAAAATAGAACATTTATCAAGTTTATTTGTATCATTTTACAACAAAAATGAAATTTAAAAAGAAATTATTTAATTATTACTAGCAGCATCGCTTATAATTAATACTTAACTTACTGCTGCTGCCGCTGCCCATTTGTGCGCGTTTACACAGATTTTTTTACCATTTATTATAAATAGGATTTAGCATGCTCTTTCTTTTTAAACTTTTGAACTCACTCAATGAGGTACTCTCAAATCTAAATAATCTATCAATATCTGCTTAATCAGTAATAAGATCGAAAATTTTGCTTCATATGCTTAGTTAGTAATAAGATTGACAATTTTTATTTGATAACTTATGTAGTAAAGGACAAACCTTATGTTATTTTTTAATTAGTAAAATAACTTCTATAAAATAAGTCAGGTAATTTATTTAATTTATGCATTATAATAATAACAAAATTCAAGTTCTTTGTCGATTGTATTTAAAATATATTAATCTGTAATTTTTAAACTAAAAGACGATGATGACTTTAGAAAACATTACTCTTTTCAAAGGTCATTCTTGATAAAGTTAGTATTTATCTCTAGAACCCTTGCATCTCACACGGTTAACTCTATGTTACATGTTAAAGAACAAGATTGTTTAATACCTTACTTTAAAGAAGTTTAAAAAAAAATCTGTTTGCTGTTATATAAAAAATCAGATTGTTTGATCATTTGATTTTGCAAGCTGTTAAACATTTATATTACGAGGTATGCCATTAAACAAATATTACAAAAATAAGGTTGTATTTGTACAGTTTCTAATTTATAATTTATCTAAGTTTTTGTAAAATAATAATTTATTTTAAATATATGAAATTACACTTTATAAACTTTGATTTCTCTTTATATCTTCAATTGCCATCTAAGGTGTGTATTGCATATCATTGCATTTTTATATAACTTTCAAAAGAACTACATCGACACTTTGACTTCATAAATCAATATATTAAAAAATAAGGAGGGAGGGGGGGGATTTGTGAAAAGTACGGTTTCTTTAAAATGATTAAAAAGAAAGTCCTTAAAAACTAAAATTCACCCGACTGAATAGCTGACTAAATTCTTTTTACGATATACACAAGTTATACACAAGCTCAAAAGATAAGCTAATGTGGAAAACATTTACTTTTTGTTGTTTTACAAAAGTAATCTAAGTAAAAGTACCATATAACAACTTCAAGCTAAATATTGTTTTTTTTTAAAACTGTGTGATTCTTTCGACTTAAATATTTTGAATTAAATATATTCTTTCGACTTAAATATTAAATATTCTTTCGACTTAAATAAATTTGAATAAAAGATGTGCATTCTTTGCTTGTGGGTCTTTATTATTTTAAATTTTTTGTTGAAATGTTTAAAGAATACCCAAATACTAAAACGATAAAACACATAAAAAAAATAATTTTTTAAAAATATATAATAACTATGAAGTTTATTGCTATAACATGTATTTGAAAATTTCCCAAAACTTTGAGCAAAATTACCCGGAAAATTCCCACCCTACACCGAAGGTGTGTATTAATATAAATGGTTTCCGTTTACATGTAAAAATATCAAAGAAATATTAAAAAACAAAGCAAAAATGACTAATATATCCATTCAAAATAATAATTCCAAAAAATACAGTTATACAAAATTGATTGAGAAAAAATTTTTTTGAGATGAAATAAAAATATAAACTTTGAAAAAAGGAAACAGAAAAAAAGTTTAAAAAAAAATTGTTTTTTACACAAAAAAGTATTTAAGATTTTATGGCAAGTTTACAAATGTAAACACATTACTAAAACAGATCAATAAATATTAAAAGATTTTGTTTTTGTTCAAACATAAAATGAAAACTCTTCCAAATTGATTTATAAACTTAAATTATTAGCTTTTATAAACTATTTTATTATAACTTATATAAATAAATTTAGCATTAAAGTAAAGGAAGCTATGTAGGTCTAAAAAACTATTTAGAAACTATTTAGATCTTTGAAAAATAAAATTATTTCAATTCTTTATAGCTTATTGTGGTGCTTATTAGTATAACAAATTAACATCAAAGAACTCTCTACATCTCTTTGTAAAATAATATGACTATTTATATTGAAAAGTAAAATAAGTCAAGAACAACTTTTTATTTTTATTTTTACCATAACATTTCTTTTTTTTCAACATTATATTTTGCCGTTGGAGAAAGTTTAAATTTACAAATAAAAATATTGTCCGGAACAAGAAGAAGACATTTATTTTTGTCTTATGGCCGAGCGCCATGTTACAAATATATACTTTTTGCAAAAATTTTTACATGAATATAAAGTCTAAACTAAAAAATTAAATAAACAATTATAAAATTATTAACATCAAAATAAGATCTTCTAAAATAAAAGTAATACCAATAATAAATTAAATAAAACCAAAAACCAAAATCAAAAAGATTAAAAAAAAAGCGATTAATGATAATGAATATGGTCAGTTATTATTTAATTTAGTTTTTGAACTTGCAGTTCTAACAAAGTTCATTTTTACTCAGTTTTTATTCTTTTTTAAATTTGAGACGTTTTTAAACAACATCTTTATAATTTTTGGGTTTAATAATAATTTTATTTTAAGTCTGTAATCCTAGTCTTTTTTTTTTATTTTATTTTTATTTGCATTCACTTCCAACAAGGCTGCAAGTAACCACTATCAAGTTGGGAGTTACTAGGGAAAAAAAGAACACAGTTATAGAGCAAGGAAACGGTTGACAGAAGACTTGAAAAGTTGAAGGTTGTATAAGTCAGGAAAACATGAAGATGAGAAAGAGTTCCAAAGGATTGAAGTGCGGGGAAAAAAACTAGATGAAAAAAAGTTTATTGAAAATGCAGGGACAGATACAGTAAACAAATGAGATTTGGCTGAATGACGAGTAAAACGAGAATGAATTTTAGTTGATGGAACTAGAGATGATAACTCCTTTGAGCAGTGACCATGATAGTATATTTAGAAAAGAGAAAGAGATGCAACTTTATGACGATAAGAAAGAGATTCAAGCTTAGCAGATAGTCCAGGTCCAACAACATTTACAATGTGTTTTTGGACCTTGTCAAGAAGAGAAAGTGAATCGTTAGAAGAACCAGTCTAAATATGACAACAGTATTCCATAAAAGGACGAATAAGAGATTTGTAGAGGTAGAGAATGTAATCAGAAGTAAGGAAATGGAGAGCACGATAAAGCGAAGCAACCTTAGCAAAAACTAATTTAGCAATTGATTGTATATATAATTTCCATGAAAGGTCAGTAGTAAGCGATAATCCAAGAAGACGTAAAGAGAATGACTCAGTAAGAGGATTGCCATTCATTACTATAGGAATGTTGACCATATTACGGTAGTTGTTTGCAGTAAGCAACTGGGTTTTTTTAGAGTTGAAATTCACAAGCCACTGTGAACCCCAATCTATTACTGAAGTGAGATCGGATTCAAGATCAGCTGCTTGTTCTAGGCGATCGAAAAGAGAGGACTTTTTGTCAAGACAGGAGTATAATGTTGAGTCATCAGCAAAAAGAGCTACTATAGATGAAAGGTTGTCAGGAAGATCGTTTATGTAGATAAGAAACAAAACAGAGCCCAGGATGGAACCTTGGGGAACCCCAGAAGTTACTGGAAATAAAGAAGAGTGTTGGCCTTCAAGGATGACTTTAATAAACCGGTTAGAAAGAAATGATTTGATAATCTCAAAAACTTTCCTAGAAACACCATATGAAGCAAGCTTATGGAGAAGACCAGCATGCCAAATGTCGAAAGCTTTAGATATGTTGAGAGCAATAGCCGTAGCCTCACCGCCTCCATCTAATGCACGATAAAATCTTTCAGTTACAGCAGTTAGCAAGTTGGCTGTAGAGTGGGAGGATCGAAAACCGTATTGATTGTCTGACAGTAGTTTATTTGAATCAAGATGAGATGTGTGGAATTTGTTGATCAAAGATTCAAAGACCTTGCTAATAACAGAAAGAAGACTGATCAGACAATTATTAGAGGGGTCAGAATTTTCTCCAGAGTTTTGAATATTGGAACCACATATGCCATTTTCCAACAAGCAGGAAAACAAGACTCAGTCAAACACTTGTTAAATAGTTTAGAGAGTATTGAAGAAAGTTCTGGAGAACAATTCTGCAAGACTGTGACAGGAATGTTGTCTGGACCACAAGCTGTAGACGAGTTTAATTGAGATATGACTTTAGCAACAGAAGCCGGAGTGATTTGAATGTCTAACAATGGGTCAACCTGTTTGACTGGAATGGAAGGAAGAGAATGTCCATAAGATTCAAGAGTGGAATTAGAAGAAAAGTTCTTTGCAAATAGTTCTGCCTTATCCTTGGGAGAGGTAATAAGATCAGTCCTATGAATGAGAGATGGAATGTTAGATCTACCCTTGTTAATAATGCTGTTGAAGATTTTCCAAAAGTCTTTAGAGCCTAACTTCTGCGTTAAGATGCGAGATTTAGTAAACT